GTGCGCATTAAAAAACTAAAACTAATAAAAAACACAACAAAATGACTAAAACTTTATCTAAAATTAAGATGAAAACAGAAGAAAAAATAAAAACGAATTCAAACAATTAATAGAAACTATAATAGTATCTACAATAACACTGGAGTAGACACATTTAATCTCACAAATCATTGCTTAACTTTTTTTAGCCATCAAAAAATCTGGAAAAATGCTCCAAGACACATATAGTAAATATGTTTTTACGAACATAATTATTGGGTATTAAGATATTTTAGGGCAAGAACAATATTGATTTATAGGTTCAGTACCAGTCAATTTCTGACTTATTTACTTATTCTTTTTTATTTTATAATAGTTAAGCCATTAAAACTGGGAAAACATGGGAATATTAATAATAATAATAATAGTAAGCTCACCAAGTACATCCAAACTTTTTACTAGTATTGTAGTAAATATATGTAAGAAATGAAATTCATTTCAATAAAAATTCAATTATTGTATTTATAAATATTGTAAAAGGATTCCTTCGCTACCCAAGGAATTCCTTCGATTCCTTCGCTACCCAATTGCTCCCCCTGCTGATTTGGATGTGTTAATTCATTACAAGAGCTGAATATGAACCCTGGGCAGCCATGAAAACACACAGTATTTAATAAAGTCCCATGGCAAGGTAAATTTCATGGACAGTGATGTGAAAATAACAGTGAACTAATCTGCAGTCCAGTGTGATTATCTGCAACTTGTGTTTCCTGTGTGGAAATTCAAAGTAATGAATTTGAGTCTTAATGTAGTTCTTAATTGATCCTATTGGAGGTCAGTCCTCTTCAAGGTCAGAGGTCACCGAGCAGCGGGTGAGAGAGGACAGATAGAGGGCGGTGGTTGCTATGGGCGACATTCCCGCCGACACCTTCAAGATGTTCAGGAGCCGCACGGCTGCTGCTTTCACACCATCTGCCGTCTGAGAGACAGAGAGAGGAGAGTAACGTGCCGTAACACACATCTGCCTGAGGTGACCGTGTGTGTGTATGTGCGTGCGTGTCTGTGTATCTGTGTGTGTCTGTCTGTCTGTGTGTGTGTCTCTGCATGTGCGTGTGTCTGTGTGCGTGCGTGTCTGTCTGTGTGTGTGTGTCTCTGCATGTGCGTGTGCAGATTAAGATAAATAAAAAATGAGTAAAATTAGATTAAAATAAAAAAAGTTACAAATAAATAAAAGATTCGAATAAATAAATAATGACAAACAGATTAAAAATTAAAAGAAATTATTAAACAAATAATGAAAAAAGAATACATTTAAAAAGTACTACCAAATAATATTTTATACATATTCATACTATAATTTTTCCCTGTCAATTGGGCTTTTATTTATGAAAATATATAGCAGCCCTTTAAACTGTAGGATAGGGGATGTTGAGGATGATTTTTGCAGTTCTGTGGTATCTAAAACCCATTTGAATTTTTCTATCGAAAGAAATTCTAAGAGAAACATCAAATTAATAGTCAAACAAAGTCTCCTGAGCAACAAAAGAGTGACGTCTGAGCATCGAGACTTTCCTCTGAGCTCTAGAATCAAGCGGTGGTTTGATGTGTTTCTCCTCTCAATGCCAGCATTGTTCCGCAGGTCTGCTGGAAGAGCATCTGGTTTCTGACCATCTCCTGACTGAATGTGTGTGTGTGTGTGTTTGTAAGGAAGCTCAGTGTCATCCTGTATTATCTACTGTGAGAGGAAGAGGCAGGGCAGGAAAGCTGAGATATCTGGAGCTCTCCAGAGAGTCCATCTGAAACAGACTCTCCATTCAAGCTCACAACCAGCTCAGAACGAGGCTTGTGTCATTATAACGCAGGCATATGATGATAATCACAGTCAAAACGGGATGATGATCACGTACTCTCAAAACACACAGAAACACTGAAATAAGAAATGATATGCGTTCCTAATCATGCTAATCTCACCGTCACAATACTAGAGCGGTGCTAGGTGGTTGCCAGGGTGTTGCTATGCCGTTTTAAGGTGCTCTAATAGGTTTTCAGCACATTGTTGTGCACTTACTCAGTTTTTTAATGGATTGTTGCTATAGCATTGATAAGATGTTGCTAGGTTTTCTGAGTTGTTTTTAACATGTTGCTAGATGGTTGCTAGAGTTTGTTGGTTGCTAGGGCGTTTCTATCTAGTTGCCAGGTGTTCTAAGCGGTTTTGTGACATTTTTACATGGTTGCTGCTAGCGTTTGCTGGTTGCTCAGGCTGGTTTTTAACATTTTCTACATGTTTTCTAGAGTTTTATGGTTGCTAGGGCATTCCTATGCAGTTGCCAGGTGTTCCAAGTGGTTTTTAACATGGTTGCTACGGCGTTGCTATGCAGTTGATCGAAGCAGGTTTTACATGGTTCCTAGAGTTTGATGGTTGCTAGGGCATTTCTATGCAGTTGCCAGGTATTCTAAGCGGTTTTTAACATGTTTTTTACATGGTTGCTAGGGCGTTGCTATGCACTCTAAGCGGTTTTTAATGTTTTTACATGGTTGCTAGGGCGTTTCTATGCGGTTGCCAGGTGTTCCAAGTGGTTTTTAACATGTTTCTACATGGTTGTTAGAGTTTTCTTGTTGCTAGGGTGTTTCTATGAAGTTGCCAGGTGTTCTAAGTGGTTTTTAATGTTTTTACATGGTTGCTACGGCGTTGCTATGCAGTTGGCAGGTGATCAAAGCGTTTTTTAATGTTTTTACATGGTTGCTAGGGCGTTTCTATGCGGTTGCCAGGTGTTCCAAGTGGTTTTTAACATGTTTCTACATGGTTGTTAGAGTTTTCTTGTTGCTAGGGTGTTTCTATGAAGTTGCCAGGTGTTCTAAGTGGTTTTTAATGTTTTTACATGGTTGCTACGGCGTTGCTATGCAGTTGGCAGGTGATCAAAGCGTTTTTTAATGTTTTTACATGGTTGCTAGGGCGTTTCTATGCGGTTGCCAGGTGTTCCAAGTGGTTTTTAACATGTTTCTACATGGTTGTTAGAGTTTTCTTGTTGCTAGGGTGTTTCTATGAAGTTGCCAGGTGTTCTAAGTGGTTTTTAATGTTTTTACATGGTTGCTACGGCGTTGCTATGCAGTTGATCGAAGCAGGTTTTACATGGTTCCTAGAGTTTGATGGTTGCTAGGGCATTTCTATGCAGTTGCCAGGTGTTCCAAGTGGTGTTTATCATGCTGCTATGTCATTGCTAGAATTTGTGGCATGGTTTTTTTTAACACATTGCTATGCATTTTCTGGATGGTTTCTAGGGTGTTGCTTTGCAGTTACCAGGTGCTCCGAATGTCAAGTCAATTTTTAGAGTTGAGGTACTTGGACTCAGACTGCGAATGAATTTGGACTCTGACATTTTAGACACAGGAACTTGTGTAATGCTTTTGACAATATACATTGTATTAAAGCTTCTTTACCCAAAATGACAGCTTTTCTCACCAAGACATATGATTTCAGGTGACACTTACTGGCAGGGGTTGGTTCAGATCAGTAACTATGATCAATACCAGTAGTGATGCTTCATTTAGCAAACACACTTTACCTGGCCATAAATAAGAGCAGGAATGTGTGTGAAAGTGGTACGTGCAGGTAGAAACGCATCCACTGCCATCCAGCTCTGCCAGTCTCTCAGCATGTGAACACACACACACACACACTGCATTATTCAGTAACAGAATGTCGAGTGGGACAAAGGCAGTTCTCTGGAGGGACGGCTGCACTGTAGAGGTGTTTGTGAAGGACTCTAATGGACGCCAGCAGAGCAGATCATGGAACAATATGACACAAAGCCACTGAGAATGAACTGAAGCGGCGTCTCAGTCTGTGACCTCATGAGAATAACAGACCTATAATTTGGAACTTTAATGACTTTTATAGTTAAAGCCAAAATACAGAACGTTTTTCCCAAAGCTGGTAGGTTCAAGCCCAATTCATGAACAATAAAAAGACTCTAAAATTAGACCGCGATGGCCTCTTCGTGACAGTCGAGGCTCTCTGTGTGTCTGTGGGGTGAGAGGATATCTGGACTGTGACCCGTGTGTGAAGTGGTCAGAGAAGAGATTGTCGAATGAGGTCAGTCACGAGGGAGCCAACGGAAAGGTTGGGCGAGTGAGAGAGAGCACAGGTAAGATGCCAGAAAGCCTTTTTGTCATTTCTTCGCAAAGTACATCCATTATTCAGGACTCGGGTTACCGATAGGATTGGTTTGCAACAGGTGAGGTTGTCATAGAAACGCAAAAGATTCGAGGGGGAATAAGAGGATTCTGGGATGAGGTTACTGTAGTGCACCAAAAAGAGAAGTTAACAAAAACTAAAACCATAAATAAACAGCAACTGAAATGTAATAAAATATATATATAAAAATGGAATAAACATATTTTGATATAAACGTATATTGCCAGAGAAATATTTCCCATTTTTAACATACTAAAATAACTAAAACTGAAATAAAAATGAATCAAAACTGTGCGCATTAAAAAACTAAAACTAATAAAAAACACAACAAAATGACTAAAACTTTATCTAAAATTAAGATGAAAACAGAAGAAAAAATAAAAACGAATTCAAACAATTAATAGAAACTATAATAGTATCTACAATAACACTGGAGTAGACACATTTAATCTCACAAATCATTGCTTAACTTTTTTTAGCCATCAAAAAATCTGGAAAAATGCTCCAAGACACATATAGTAAATATGTTTTTACGAACATAATTATTGGGTATTAAGATATTTTAGGGCAAGAACAATATTGATTTATAGGTTCAGTACCAGTCAATTTCTGACTTATTTACTTATTCTTTTTTATTTTATAATAGTTAAGCCATTAAAACTGGGAAAACATGGGAATATTAATAATAATAATAATAGTAAGCTCACCAAGTACATCCAAACTTTTTACTAGTATTGTAGTAAATATATGTAAGAAATGAAATTCATTTCAATAAAAATTCAATTATTGTATTTATAAATATTGTAAAAGGATTCCTTCGCTACCCAAGGAATTCCTTCGATTCCTTCGCTACCCAATTGCTCCCCCTGCTGATTTGGATGTGTTAATTCATTACAAGAGCTGAATATGAACCCTGGGCAGCCATGAAAACACACAGTATTTAATAAAGTCCCATGGCAAGGTAAATTTCATGGACAGTGATGTGAAAATAACAGTGAACTAATCTGCAGTCCAGTGTGATTATCTGCAACTTGTGTTTCCTGTGTGGAAATTCAAAGTAATGAATTTGAGTCTTAATGTAGTTCTTAATTGATCCTATTGGAGGTCAGTCCTCTTCAAGGTCAGAGGTCACCGAGCAGCGGGTGAGAGAGGACAGATAGAGGGCGGTGGTTGCTATGGGCGACATTCCCGCCGACACCTTCAAGATGTTCAGGAGCCGCACGGCTGCTGCTTTCACACCATCTGCCGTCTGAGAGACAGAGAGAGGAGAGTAACGTGCCGTAACACACATCTGCCTGAGGTGACCGTGTGTGTGTATGTGCGTGCGTGTCTGTGTATCTGTGTGTGTCTGTCTGTCTGTGTGTGTGTCTCTGCATGTGCGTGTGTCTGTGTGCGTGCGTGTCTGTCTGTGTGTGTGTGTCTCTGCATGTGCGTGTCTGTCTGTGTGTGTGTGTGTGTCTCTGCATGTGCGTGTGTCTGTGTGCGTGCGTGTCTGTCTCTGTGTGTGTGTGTGTCTGTGTGCGTACGTGTTTACCCTGTGCTCGGCGCAGAGGACGGGACACTGATGTGAAGCAGCCAGTTTTCTTACGCTGACCAAACGCTCCTGAGTGTGAAAGCCGCTGCGAGCTGCAGACACACATGTAAAACACACTGACCTCACAAACACTTCTGACAATCATTGACAGACTGAGCACTCAGAGAGCAGGTAAAACGTCTGGGGTCAGGAAGATTTGTTTTTCAAGAAACTTAATGCTTTTATTCAGCAAGGATGCATTAAACTGATCACATGTGACAGCAGAGACATTTATAATGTTATGAAAGATTTCCATTTCAAATAAATGTTGTCCTTTTGAACTTTCTATTCATCTAAGTATCCTGAAAATAAAACTCTATCAGGGTTTTAACAAAAGTAAGAAGCAGCACAACTGATTTCAACAATGATAATAATAATAAACATTTCTTGAGCAACAAATCAGCATATTAGATTGATTTCTGAAGGATCATGTGACACTGAAGACTGGAGTAATGATGCTGAAAATTCAGCTTTGATCACAGAAATAAATAATATTTTACTATACATTTACATAGAAATTAGTGACTTTAAATAGTAATAATATTTCACAATTTTTACTGTATTTTTAATAAAATAAATGCAGCTCTGGTGAGCAGAAAAGACTTATTTTGTAAACATTAAAATCTTACTGAGCCCAGACTTATAAATGGTACAATGTACATATAACACAACACTCAAACTCATGCCATTTAAGTACATGATGAGCAAAAGAAGGTGCTTGACCTTCAGAAAATGTTGCTCATCCATCTCGAGGTCAAACCAAATAACATGTGAACCATTTATTTTATGTTACCATTTTGCTACATTGTTACAAAATGGGACTTATGTGAAAACAGATTAAAAGCCAGAATTGTGTGATGCCATGAACTACACAAATAAAAATATAAAAAGCAACCTATTTCAGCTTTTCTGAGTGCAGTGTTGGGGAGTAACTCGTTACAGTTACTGAGAAACAATGCGTAATTAAATTAGTTACTTATGAAAATGTTAACGGGGTAACGTCTAAATATTTTGACCGATTTCTTTCCCAAATTGCAGTGACTGCTCTAAATATATGAGACACCAATGTTTCAGGAGTTTAGGACACAGAATAGGACTCATGCTTATTTTATAACTTTAATGTTCTATTTGGGTTTATGTATGCTTTATTTTTTAAGATGAACTGTTTTGTTTTTCCAAGGCATTGTTAGATGCCAGCGCTCCCTGTCATAACTATGCAAAGATTTGATTTCAAAAACAGTATCATAGCTATTAAGCTACATCTTGTTATGATTTTAAATCTGTATTTTTCCTCAGAAATATCTCAAAGTGAAAAGAGGTGCTAACGTCTGATTTAGTGCTGGCTGTGCTTTAAAATTAAATTATTATAATCTTAATTCAAGTGATGAAGGTAATCGGTGTTGAGCTCTACTGTAAGGTTAACCCTGCCTGGTTCACATGTTTGAAAATGAATAATAGTTGAAAACATTCGTTAGAAATTTAGAAAAGTAATCAGTTACATTACTTTAAAGGGGTCATATGATGCAATTTCAATTTTTCCTTTCTCTTTGGAGTGTTACAAGCTCTTGGTGCATAAAGAAGATCTGTAAAGTTGCAAAAACTAAAGTCTCAAATCCAAAGAGATATTCTTTATAAAAGTTAAGAGTCAGCCACGCCTACCTAAAATGGCACGTTCTAACACGCCCCCACATATCTACATCACTGTGTGGGAAGATTTGCATAATGCGTTTATAATGGGTTTTAATGTTTTTGTCTCATCGCTCCGGCCGGACATGGCATCACAGTGTGTTAAGGGGCGTAACATTTCCGTCACACGCTTGAGGTATTCGGCCAATCACAATGCACTGGATAGCTGGCCAATCAGAGCACACCTCGCTTTTCAGACCGATGAGCTTTGTAAAAATCAACACGTTTCAAAAAGGCAGGGCATAGAGGAGAAATAATAATGTACAGTATGTGGAAACTAATGTGTTTTTTATACTTTAAACCGCATAAACATTTCATTACACCAAATACACAAAATAATGTTCTTTTTAGCAGCATAATATGACCCCTTTAATAAAGTAATTGAAATAGTTATACTACTTATTACATTTCAAATTGAGCAATTTGTTATCTGTATCCTATTACATTTCCAAAGTAACCCACCCAACATTGAGTGTATGTGACTATAACTGCATTTTCACAAATACTTTGAATTTCTTTTTTGTGGAAAACTAAGACACAAAAATGAGTGTGCGCACATTTACAATTGTTGAAGAAGGCTCTCAACTCACCATCAGTGACCAAGAAACACACTTTCCCCAGGAAGCAGTCTGAGTGCAGATGGGCGAGAGAGCTTTCCACTGACTGCAGACTGAGAGAGAGAGAGAGAGAGAGAGAGAGAGAGAGAGAGAGAGAGAGAGAGGAGAGTGTGTGCGCACACACAGTCAAAAAAGAGAGAGAGAGAGAGAGAGAGAGAGAGAGAGAGGGGAGTCTGTGCGCACTCAGTCAATGATAAGAGCGAGAGAGAGAGAGAGAAAGAGAGAGATGAGAGTCTGTGCACTCACAGTCAATGATAAGAGCGAGAGAGAGAGAGAGAGAGAGAGAGAGAGAGAGAAGAGAGTCTGTGCACTCACAGACAATGATAAGAGCGAGAGAGAGAGAGAGAGAGAGAGAGAGAGAGAGAAGAGAGTCTGTGCACTCACAGACAATGATAAGAGCGAGAGAGAGAGAGAGAGAGAGAGAGAGAGAGAGGGAGAGAGAGAAGACTGTGCACTCACAGTCAATGATAAGAGCGAGAGAGGTCAGTGTACCTGCGCTCTGACAGCAGATTCACTAGAAACACTATTAAATCAATGCGAGGACGGCTTTCCTTGTTCTCAACGGGCAGAGGGAGTTTTCTGGCCAAACGCCTGAAACACATCAGGAACATTTACACGCGCTTAAACATGAAATACATCATATCTAGGGATGGGCGATACCACTTATTTTGTTTTCGATACCGATATTTTTCAAGGCAGTATCGCCGATACCGATACTATTTAACAAAAAATTTAAATTACGAAAAATGTATTAAATGCCTAAGAGTAAAATGGATAATGAAAACCACTTAACTTCATGTTTAAAACGCATTTTAACATTCAATATGCCTTAATTGTAATTATTAGGTTATATTTTTGTTTGCACATGGTTCAGATATGTATTTTGTTTACACGTGATTCAAATCTATAAATACTACAGTTGAACTACGGTCACTTTAGTAAAACCATGGTTCATTTTCATCAGGGACTGCCAGTGACCGGCTGCTGCACGCATAAAATGCAACCTTTTTATTCTGACAGCGTATTATTTATATTAACATTACAGAACAGAACATGATCAGTATTATCTTTCAACGTTCAGTTTAAATAATTGTAATTGCACAAACTATGTAGGCTACAATTTCAGTTTGTTTATTGTGAAATAACTCTGTCCTTCTGTCCTCTGATAAGCATTGTTCAGGGCTGCTGTTCCCAAAAGCTTTAATGCTTTCTTGTGATGCTTTTGGGAGCCGCAGCACAGTTTGAATGCACTGTCAGCAGTGAGTGAACGCTCTCTGTGTGATGGAGAAGTTCTGTCCTGCAACATGTGTGTGTCCAGATGAGCAGGAACAGAGTTATGTCCTACACAATTACTCGCCAACAAAGGTTATTCGTCCAATTCAATGCATATGGTACGCATTATTATTTGTTTGTTAAATTAACAAAACCACTGGTAAATAAAACACACCTTAGTATCGATATTTTTTGTTTGAGTATCGATACGCCCATCCCTATCACACATATCGAGCAGCATAATAATAATAATAATAATAATAATAATAATCATCGCTAGACACACTCACACATTGACGTTGAAATCGTTCTCATTTCGCACTAAGGCGTTGGCTAGTTTGGACTGCAGCTCCTCCTCGTTTTCAACCAGCTGTGAAGATAAATATAAAGACATTAAAACCGTTGTATTGTTGTATTAGCTTTATAAACCGTTTCCGTGAGCTGCGCTGAGCTGAGGCGCGTTACTCACGAGCACAGTCGCGGTGTTCAGCTCCGGGACTTTACTGTACGGAGTCAGGAGCGCCATGCTGAGGTGTATCAGAAACACGGCGAGTTTTGTTGATTTGTTTGTATGTTTATCCGGAAAAAAACCCTGCGAAAGCTCGCGATTCCAGCGACGGTTCCTCCTCGCGCTTATTTTCAAAGCTCACGCGCGTGACGTCACACACAACGCGACCCGACGTAGAGCTCGCGCTGCTGCCCTCGCGCGTACACAACCCGCCTCGCATTCGTGCTTAAACTTCATATTTTACTTTTTACTTTTTTTTCTTTCTTGGAACATGTTTCTTAAAACGTAAGAAACATCACGTATTTGTTAAAGTGAACATATTTGAAAAAAGTTTTTTTTTTTGGAACATGTATCTTAAAGCGTAAGAAACCACGTATTTCATTGAAGGGAATATATATATAAAAACATTTATATTTATTAATAATAATAATAATAATGACATAAGTCTCAAAGAATAGATCTTTGATGAAAAATGTGGAATTTTACAGATTCGTATTTGATTCTCTCTCTCAATATAAAACGCCTCATACTAGTTTACTCTGATAGAGGTCAGCACCATATCAGATACTGTGAATATGGAAACCT